AAAAAAAAAAAAAAAAGTGAAAGGAAAGAGGATTCAACTTCTATTACAATGCAGAAGCTTATGAAGTTAGGTATTGAAGAATCCCTATGTTGGCTGCTTGTGATGGCTTGATAAGTCTGAGCAAGTTCACTTTCCACTACATTTATATAAAAGTTCTACACAGGTATCATGCTCAAAGATTCAATGCTCAACAGAATATATAACCCTTGGTGGAGCAAACAATCAAATATGCCTTGTCTGACAAAATCAAAATATTGACCAGATATTGAATTACTGACTACTGTCACACAATATTCAACTCTAGTCCAACTAATTTGAAGTTTGGGAAATTCCACCATGTCATGGGTTGCATATCAAAGCTCAAACTTGTAGCCGGATATTGCAATACTTAACTTCATAGCAAAATTTTAATGGAAAATTCCTCCATAGTTGATAAACCCAAAATCATTCGAGTGCCCTGTATGGCATTCTCCAATCTGTTGCCTGCTACATGGCACATCTTATGCTAGATGTGAACTGCAAAATTGGGTACTGACTTGGAAACACAGTCATGCACATGTAAGCAAATGATGGAAGTTTATGGTATTTTGTTTGCATGTAAGGATGAATATACACATATATATATATATATATATAGAGAGAGAGAGAGAGAGAGAGAGATTTAGGTTAAAAAAATAAAGTGGAGAAGACTTGGGAGGAAGTGGTAACTCACAAGGGAATTAATTTAAATTTTGCAGTCACTGATTAATTCATTCAATCCACAAATGGGTATTTTCTTCGAAAATAGCAATAATGTCTGTACAAAAATGCTACCAAAAGTTGTGAAGTCACTTGAATTTTATTTTTGTACTGAAAAGTATCAATCTAGGTAGATAACAAGAAAACAATAAAATTTCCTGGCCATTTAGCAAACCCATCTTCTCCTGACAGATTTACTTATAGGTTATAAGGTGATATTTCAAATTGCCATGAATAGTAAATGAGGACAAGCTGTTTAGGCCATCTCTAGCCCTTAGTCAAAATTTTACTCAAATTTCAATAAAAAATTGAGTAAAAGCTTCATTTGATATGAACCACCCCAATGGACAAAGGCATAATTAAGCATAAATTTGAGTAAAAGGTTTTTATTCCAGAGTCAGATTGGCGAGACAACTTCTTCAATGCTTCAACTTACATTCCGAGGAAGACTTTCCCAGCAATGGAAGCAAAGATTGCGAGGTACTTTGATAGCATCAAAAAAGGTAGGTACCTTCTAGTTCAGCTTTGTCATCTAGCTCAGGCAGTTCAAAATGAAAAAGAGGTTCCAACAATGAGAAGACTCCCAGGAAGGGGGGGTTGTTTGGGAAGAGAATAAAATAGCCAAAAAAACCCACTAAAAAAGCTAAAAGAAAAAATATATATATATAAAAAAAAGTTAAAGATTCCTTCCATTCCCTTTATTTTTTTGCACTTTTTTCCGTAGAAAACCAAAAAATCATTTCCTTGTGTTTGGTATTTTTAGAATTATGATTTGAGAATAGAGTTATATTTTGAGTTTGTGTGTTTTGAAATTATGATTTGAGTGTGAAAAATTTGTTTGATTATGAGTTTTGAAAAGAGTTTGAATTGAGTGATGTGACACATGATATTGAAAAGTGGATGTTTTGAAACGTGTTTTGAAAAGTGGGTGTGTAATTAATTTTCTAAAGCTATAACCAAATAACACTCTCAAACTAAGGGATATAATTAAATTTCAAAAACTCTACCAAACAGATCAATTTTTTTCACCTCATATTTTAGCAAAAAAGTATAAAAAAGCCACTTCCCAAACCAACCCTAAAAGCTTCACTAATGGCAGAGTAGTAAAATAGAGAGCCACAAAACAGCCTTGAAAAGTTTGAGTAAACATTTGAGCCTCTCTTGATTTGAGTAAAACTCAATTTAGTATATAAGTTTGGGGCAAGGAGTGGAGTGTGTTTTGAGTGATTTTTACTCAAATTTAAAATTGATAAAGGTTTGAGTCAAGGATTGGAGGTACCCTTAGAAAGCATAAACTTTGCTATTTACAACAAGTAGAACTAAGTAACTGCTCAAAATCAATAAATCAAATTCAATGAAAAAACATCCAATAATTCAATTTCTTAAGAAGCCATTCAAACAAACCACAATTAAAAACAATGTGTATATATGAAATCCACACCAATATATATATATAGAGAGAGAGAGAAGAGACTTACGCCCATCCTTTTGCCCTTTCCACCAGCTAAAAGGATGACAGAGACACTTTTCTCTTTAACAATTTCAGAACTCTGTCCAAAAAAATTAAAAAAATAAATAAAAAATCAAGTTGGGTGTTGATGATAAATGAACCAAGAACCACATGAACACATATACATCACCTCTAGGTCCACAGACTTGGCAGAGCAAGTGATCTTGGACTTGGAAAATCTTGACTTGTTGGTGGGACTTCCAGAAACTCGTGAATTGGGTAAGTGAAGAAGATGGGAGTGTTTGGAATTCAAGAAATGTGAGAGTGAGGGAATATATTTTGACGGAATCTTGAAATTACTTCCCAACAATACTGGAAAAGAAGCAGAAGAAGAAGAAGAGAGAGCGAGACTGAATTGAAGAATTGTCATCTCTCTCTCTTCCCCACAAAGATTTCCGATGCCTCTCTCTCTCTGCATATCTATCCATACGGAAGAATTTATAGTTTAATTTTTAAAATTTATTTTTTTTTATAAATCCTAAATCCTAAAATAAAAATAAATAAATTTTAAGAATTAAACCTTAAAATAAAATAAAAAATTTATCCCTAAACAGTAAAATAAAAAAATTAAGAATTAAAATAAAAAAGTAATTATTTTATATAGTTAATTATTATTTATTATTATAAATTAAAAAAGTAATTATTTTATATAGTTAATTATTATTTATTATTATAAATTATTATTATATATATTTAATATTAATTTCAATTTTATGAAATAGAATTTATATTATATATATATATATTAAGTGTGATTGTGTGGGAGTCATGTGTGTGTCTGTCAGAGAGTGAGAGCGAGAGAGTTTGTGTTTGTGAGTGCGTGTGCTTGGTGCATTATTGAAATAACGGTTTTTAATTACGTTTTTTTTATAATACAGTTTAATTTTAATTAAGAAAGTGTGGTCAGAAATTATATTTTTTGAAAAAAAAAAAATTATTTTACTTAAAAGTGTGGTTTGAAATCACATTTTATGATTAACTTAAAAAAACGTCTTCTTAATTAAAAGCATGATTTATAACCACGCTTTTATGATTTTAGAAAATTTTCAAGCGATAGCTACAAAAACGATAAAAGCGTGTTTCACAATCACGTTTTAGCTTAATTTAAAAATTCTATCCAAACTAAATCTAATTTGAGAAATAAATTACTAATTTAATTTGGAAAATGTCCTTACGGAAGAAGCTTGAATAAGACAAGGTTGCGTGAAGCAGGTGATGAGTCTGGTATTGTTGGGAATATCGCTGAACATGCCCAAAGCAAAACAAAAAAAAAAATTGTGAATATTGTTAGGATATATGCTACTGTGAATTAAAATAATACGTTACTACCAAGTAGAATAATATGTTATTGTTATTATTTATATCAATTTTAAAAGTAATAATTTTTTATTTTTAAAAAATTTTTATAGTCAATATCAATTTTACTTGATAAATCTTGATAAATCTTGATGAAAGAATTTTAAAAATATTAATTTTTATTAAAAATTGACATTTGTATTATTTTAAAGTTTAATATTTTGATCATAGTGATATTTGTTAAAATTTTCAAGAAAAATTTATACTTGTCTTTAATGCATTAAAATTTTATTATGATAGGATTTTGACTATTATTGATGGATTTTAAAAATTAAGGTAAATTACTAATACACTCCCTGATGTTTATTTAAATTACAAATTATCCTTTGTAATTCTAGAAATTACATTATGCTCTTAAAATTTTTAATTTCATAACAAATAGGTCATTTTATTAATAAATCCTCAAGTTAATTAACAATTTTTAATAATGTTAAAATTTTATTTCAATTAATAATTTAGATAATTTTATTACTCCTTCCGTCCCAAAATATTAATCCCTTATTCTATTTTTCATTGTGCCAAAAATATTAGTCTATTTTCAAAAATTAAGTACAAAAAAAATATAAATTTCCTATTTTACCCTTCTTTTAAATTAATTAATAACATAAAAGTACGATTATGACATTGATATTTATCAAAAAATGTACTATCAAAGGGTAAATTTGGGAAATCATTTTTTTTTAAGTATAATAATTATACTACCAAAAAAAGGTTAAATTTCTCAAAGGGGACTATTATTTTAGGATGGATGTAGTGTTGTACAGGTAAACAGTTAGAAATTTTACTTTTTTAATTAATTCTGTTAAATAAAAAATTCTGGTAAAGAGATATTTGTAATTTTTTAAATTACAAGAAATAATTCATATTTTAAGCAAATCCCAAAAAATATATTTACAATTTATCCTAAAAATAATATAAAAATTTCATTATAATTATATTTAAGTCATAATCTATATTTGCCTTTTAAGCATACTTGTGATAATAAGGCGTTACTAAACACTACAAACACTATTTGAATTCATTATTTATTGCCCTCGATATTATTGCCCTCGATGTTAATTCTTGACTTTTCAATTGTACAATATTTGATTTTAAATTTTAAATTTTAAATTTTGTTCAAAATAAAGACAATTGAAGATATTATTTGATTTTTCAAGGGCAAAACCGTTAATTTGATAAAATATAACTAATTTGACAAAAATAAATGTCAAAAAACTATTTTGGAATTTTTAAAAATTATTTATACCTAATAAAGATAAAATTATGTAAAAGTGATAAATCTTTTAGACATTTATTTATTTATTTATTTATCTTACCAAATTAATTTTTATTATGTGTTTGGATGATAATCATGTAATGAGTGGTTGTTTTTGTTTTAATTAAATTAGTTTCTATTTTTCAAAAGTCAAATATGGCGACAACTTTGATATCATTATTAAACCAATCTGTTAAATCAAAAAAAACCAAAACTAAAAATATTTCATACATTAAATGTATCGATTACACATAAAAAGTTTAACAGCTACCCATTACATAATCATCATCTAAACATATAATAAAAATTAATTTGGTAAAATAAATAAATAAATAAATGTCTAAAAGATATATTAATTTTACATAATTTTATCTTTGGAGTGTAGAAATAATTTTAAAATTTTAAAAAATATTTTTTTGACTTATATTTTACCAAATTGATGATTTTACCTTTGAAATTAAATAATGGTATCTTCAATTATCCTTATTTGGAACAAGATTCAAAATTTATGGTCAAATGTGTCACAATTGAAAAGTCAGGGACCACAGTGACACGAGCCCTAAACTATATGAACTATTAGTGTAATTTTCTTTATATAAAATGGTAAATTATAAATACATCTCTTGAGATTTTTTTTAAAATATGAATTGTTTCTTGTAATTTAGAAAATTACAAATATCTTACTGTTAGAATTTTTTATTTAACAGAATTAATTGAAAAAGTAAAATTTCTAACTATTCACCTATACAATAATAAAATTATTTGAATTATTAATTGAAATAAAATTTTAACATTATTAAAAATTGTTAATTAATTTGATGATTTATTAATAAAAGGATAATTTACAAATACACCTCCTGAGATTTGCTTAAAATACGAATTACCTCCTGTGGTTTAGAAAATTACAAATACCTCTTTGTCAGAATTTTTTATTTAACAAAACTAATTGAAAAAGTGAAATTTCGGACTGTTCACCTATACAATAATAAAATTATCTGAATTATTATTTGAAATAAAATTTTAATATTAGTAAAAACTGTTAATTAATTTAATGATTTATTAATAAAATGACCTAATTGTTATAAAAGTAAAAACCTTAGGAGACATAATGTAATTTTTAAAACTATAGGGAATAATTTATAATTTAAGTAAATCTCAGGGATGTATTTATAATTTATCCTATATAAAATGTAACTAAATATCACAATAATTTATAATAAACATTAATTCAGATATGTATATCACTTGTTTGTTTCTGGTTTTTTTGGTTTTTTTTTCGCTAAAAAACAAATTGGTTATAAAATCAAAAAAATAAATCCAAACAAAATATCATATTAAACCCCATAATCGTTTCATTCTTTCTCTCACAAATATCACATCCAACCACAAAAAAACTCAACTACCTTCCCAAACATAAAAAAAAAAATTCTCCAATAATATCCTACAACTAAAAAACCTACAAAAAAATCCACTTCCCAAACACCCACGTTATTTTCATACAATTATCTATGTTAGACTTATTTATTTTAATGATTTATTTAATTATGTTTTAATTTATTTAAAAGAGAAAAATAGAATCTAAAATTTATTTTGATAATTTATTTAATTATATTTTAATCAAAATTTATTTTGATGATTTATTTGAAAGAGAAAAATAGAATCCAAAATTTATTTTGATGATTTATTTGAAAGAGAAAAATAGAATCAAAATTTATTTTATCCCATTATTTTTCACCTAAACCTTTATCCTAAATGTTATTATAATGTATTTAATATTTGATTAAATCAAGAGTTCAAACAGCCCAAAACAAAGGTTCAAACAACCTAGCATAGCAGCAAGCCAAATGGTTCAAAAGGTTCAAGTGGAAGATATTTAAATTAGTAATGATGGAAGTACAATAGCTATAAATGGCTATAAAGGTTTAAAAGGCCAAAAGGTTCAAAATGTTCAAGTGGAAGATATTCAAATTTGTAATGATGGAGTAGAAGATATTCAAATTGGTAATGATGGAAGTATAACGACTATAAATTCAAATGACTACAACGGCTATAAACAGCTATAAATTCAAATGAATACAACGGCTATAATTTTTATTATATATACCAAAGCCTCTAATGTAAACAAGTTACAAAAAACCTAAAAATATTCTTTGATCTATAATCACTCACATCTATTTTCAGAAATTATACACTGAGCCTTATAGCTTTAAGCCCATATTTCCTGTGTGAGATTTACAGAAAAATCAAAGTTTCATTTTATATATCTATCTTTGAGAGATATTTATTGTAAGCTTTCTTTGAAAGCAAAAATACAATTGCATCTTGTAAAAATGTTGCAAACACTATGTTCTTGAAATCTTAAGAGTGATTGTGAATCATCTAAGATTTGCAAGGGTTTGGGCTTGGGAAGTCTGTGTAAAATCCGTGGAGGATTGCTCCATTTGTAAAGAGGTTGATAGCACCCATGTGAAGCTAGAAGTTAGTGAAAAATCTCAAGTGAAATTTGAGGAGTGGATGTAGACTTGGTTGAAGCTGAACCACTATAAATTTGTTTGTCTCATTTTCCCTAATCTCTTTACTTTCCTATTACTGCTATAGCTATCTAATATTCATGTGTTAATGTCACGACCCCATTTTGCCCCTAGTAGAATGGTGCCGTGATGGCCAGTAATCCGAAATTATCAAAGGCCAACTTATAAGGATTCACACACAATTAGAGTATACATATGGGGCTTACATGTGCAAAAGCAATATATTTGGATCTAATTAGTCCATAAGAGCTGTGCATAGATTAAATGAAATGACATACATCT